TGAGTTTAAATTCACTTTTTAAATTATTTTTTTAAACTGCTTTTTACCGGTTGGTCACGTTGAATTCACTCGTCGAATTTGGGAGTCTTTGTCAGTGTTCAAGGTCTTACATTTTTCGTGGTAAATTGCGGACGGCGATATAAAAAAAATTCCTCTCTCATTTCTCCTCGAAAGTGAAGTTATTGGTTGGCGAAATGAAACCACAAAATACTAGTTTTAATTATAGGTAAAATGTATCTAATTTAGCAGTCAAGTATTAAATTACTTTACTGTAAATTTTAATACATACCAAAAATTAAAATTAATGCAAAATGTTTACTATTGTGTAATTTGTAATAATGTAGAGGAGGTCGCAACGTTACGTGTTATTTAGGGGGTTCAAGCTCGCGTTTCAGGGAGGACAGAGTTATCCAAAACGCTTGTTTTATGTGAACGACACCCGGTTAAGTAAAGTGAATAGGTAGACACGCCTAGCACTTGCAGAAAATCATGTAAAGTTTCTTTTGGAAGAAAATTCTTCATGTTGGAGTCGGATGGTGATCGCGTGGCATGAAGAAAGTAAACTACAGAGTGGAGCCAGGAATCTTAGTTTCCGCCGTTAAAACAAGGCGATGATTTGATTTGATGCTTGTATGGGAACGTAGTGTGAGTGCCAATGGGGTGGAGGATTTGCAGGTTATAATTGGAATGATAAATCAATTAGGTAATAAACTTCGCTTGCCATTCCAAAGCCAAAATTGTGAGTTAGTGCGCTTAAAATGCAAAGTTTGCGTTTTTAAGCACATTATGTAGCAATGGTCGAATTTAGTACTTTAAATTTTGTTTAAATCGCATTTTAAAAACAAGGTTGTGTATTTTATTATAAAAAAATAGAATTTGCATTTTGTAGCATGTTGAGAAAATAATTATTAAGGGACGGCTCTTTGAAATAAAAAAAATGATTCTTTGTAGATTTTCCCATTAAAATTTGAAAAGAAGAGAAACTAATTCAATATTTCGCCACTTGTGAACTTCAGCAAACATAAAAGCTAAGACGACTGAGAGCTCAGGCTTTCAGGATAAGTTTTTTTAATTGTAATTTTTTTTACTTTTTGACCGTTGAATCTTAATTATAAATTAATAAACGCAGTCACTATCAAATTAAATATTTTCAAACATCAAAATGTCGATGTCGCATCCCTAATTAAAGAACGAACACGAAGGAAACCATAAAATTCAGTTTAGCAGATTCACGACCATTTCGCATTTTATCGCACATTGAAAATCTTCAGAAATATATTGAACCTATCGTCAAACATATAATTACTCATTTTTTCAGCGTTTGGTTAACATTTTGCATTTTTTTGCAATTGCTAGAATCTACCATCTCTAATGATGATCCTAAGCATAGAGCGTTGTACCCAAAACTGTGGATTCTGATCAATGTATTATAACCGCACGTTTTCTTGAGCCCCGTAATGTCTACCTCCCACTCATTTCCCAACATTAGTTGCATTAAGAATAAATCATAGAAATGTGAGTTATAGACAAAATCTGGTGACGAGGAATGTTCGTTCTCGTGTATTAAAAACAATTTTGCATGAAAAAATGGACTACAAATTCGAAACTCCCCAAAAAACCAAACTGCCCACTCCTCTCGAATCTAGCGAAGCGACGGCTCAAGAAAACGTACGCGGATAATATCAAGGCCATTGCACTCCGCCCAATCACTTGTCAGAATTCCTATTGAATATTTTTGGTGCACTCTGGAAACTTACGTTCAAAAAGGGGATATTGTAATTGAACAGAATCTGGAGAGAGCATGAGAAGGAAAGTGGAATATCTGTATACAAATATGTCACTTAAACGTTCTTCGCACTAACAAAATCATTTAATCAAAACCGATGGAGCCCTTTTTTTAAATTTGAAAAATGTCCCAAGGCATTCATGTAGAATACCCCCAAAATTGAAATATCGGTTTTAAATTCCAGGGGCCCTGCTATCAGTCAGATTGATTGGGGAATATCAGTTTTGGAGAAAATCGGTTAAACGGTTTAGCCGCTAGCGTTGTTCATGGACAGGCAGACAGACGTTTTGCCGTCATTCGGTTTCAAAGACTCACAAAACAGATTATTGATACACCAAATGTTAGAGGATTTGTTCTAAATTTAACAACTGGATTTATCCACTTTTTCGTTTCCAGGGCCCTGTAAAAAGAGGTTTTCAGACGAAAATTCCCCGTTTTTCGCGCAGCATTCCATAACTTTCACTCGACTTCCTAAACATATTTACTGATAATCATTAAAACGAATAAAATCGTATCCCAGCGCGAGCTGCGTTTAGCCTACGCCATTCTACATCATCTGTAATATGACACATGTGAATAAAAAAACTATCTGAATGTACCGATCACAGTCGACTCAGTCAGACCATATACATTGTATTCCTGGGATGGGAAAATATTAAGGAGCGGATTTTAATGACCTAAAAATCGCCAAAATGTTTTCCATAAAATGTTTTTAAAATGCTCTAGAAGCATAGAAAAAGGCGCATTTTTTTTATCAAAACATTCAGATGCATAATTCAAGCTGTTTGATCTGTTACTGATGTAATCGCAGTGTCGGATCGAGGCCCAGAATCAAAAATCAAAATGGTAAAAGTGCAGGAAAAATAAAAATGAGTAACACTAGAAAAAAACTCGTAGAAACGTCTAAAATGTATCGAAAACAACAGCTTGTTCTGTCCTTAGGCTTTTAGTTACGAAAGGGAATCCTGAGTCTCAGGGTATTTTAGCCCAGTGGTTCGTATGGAAAATATCTTAGACTGTTCTCCAGAGGCATCATAGAATGAAAAATGTGTCCTAATCCTTCGTTGTTTTTCTGCTCAGAATCCAACGATTTTAATTACAAGTTATTACCATTTTTAATTTAAAACCATAAAGTATTCATTAATTAGATATTTTGATTTTGTATAATTAAAAATTATGCGCATTAATTAGATAATTTAATTAGTATTAATTAAATTAGATATTTTTATTTGGGCAAAAGCATGTTATTATAAAGAGTTTACTTTGTTTATAATTTATATATTTGTTATATATACACGCGCACATACAAATCCCCCCAAATTCGTCTCTGGATCCGCCCCTGAATTCTACATACGTAGCATCCAACTGCGTATATTGGGAGCGGGCGACTGAAGGATAGCAATCTTTATTTCATATTTATTTGAAATGTGTTTTAAATAATTTCTAAAAGATTAATTTGTAAACGTATAACAAAAGATTCAATGTAAAAAACGAACAAAGAAATATGAAATACTATACACATTCTAACTTCGCATCCAACTCCCTCAAAACAATTAGCATTAGGAACGTAGTTTCAAAGCGGGCGACTAACTTCGACGTTCAATTTCTCCAAAAATTCTCATAGTTTTGAAAAATTCGACATGACCTTATTTGAAAATCTGTTTTTGATGAATATATTTCATTTTTTTAAAATGTATCTTCATTATTGTAGTTGTAGGAAATTATGAATTTTTTCAATTGTCGAAAAATCAGGGTTTTCAACCAACACAGTTTTCTTAAATGTCCTTCAGACTATCCCAAAACAAAATTTAATTAAAATCGATGGCGCCATTTTTTTAAAATCACCTAGGGGCTTCTTCATGTAAAGTTCCCCCAAAATTAAAATGTCGGTTTCAAATTCAAGAAGCCGTGACATCCACTAGATCGATTGGGGAACATCGACTTTGGAGAAAATCGGCTGAATGGGTTACCCGCGTGTGTTGTTCACAGACGTATTGCCATCAATCGATTTTTCCGCATGAAGGACCACAAAACAGGGGTTCTTGCTACACGTCTTAAAGGACCCCATAAATTTAGTGTCTGTATTGATCCACATTTTCGTTACCAGGGCCCTGTAATGAGTTTTCCTGACGAAAATTCGCCGTTTTTCACGCAGCATTACATAACTTTTTCTTATAAAGTTCCTTTTTAAGCACGAGAAAGTAAAAATGTTTCATAATAAATAATTTCTGTGTCCAATGATTTTGTTTGCCTCATTTCAAATCAGAATTCTTAGTTTCATTAGTGTCAGGGTATGCCTATTTGTTAAATGACGTGAAAATGAAACTTTTTGTCCTTAAGAGGGTTGTATTTTATTGCAGTTAACCCCCACTTAAGTTTTCCTCAAACCAAGCAGTACAAGAAGAATAATGTCCGAAGTGTCCTCACTTTGTAGTTATACAATAAATAATGAATGGAGGCTAGTTTTTCAAGGAATATTGTATTGTTTCATACAATTAAACATCCGAGAATAAATAAAAACAATATTTAATATTACTTGGTGGTTTTTTTCTTTTCTTACTGTCTTTACTACTTACTGTTATTTTAAAGAGTTTTCATACTTGACAGGTCTGAATTTCAAATTTTTTACTCAATTGTCAGGTTAGTTTTGAAAGTTAAATGTATATTCCTCCCTACAGGTCACATTCTTTAAAATTGTTTTTGATTTTGACTAAAATTATCTATGGTTGAAAGGCTTACTTTGAAAAATTTCATTCTTTTATAACTGAAGACCTTGGGGCAATAACATGCTATGCTACATTTTTTATTAAATTGAATGTTTTTCAGTGCCCCATAGATGTATCTATATGTTGGGTTTTCATTTTAAAGATTTGCCACGAGATGGCAGTGTAATTAATAAATTAATGTTCTGTATGACGTGTTAAATGCAATGTCTAAACCACCTTCACTCCCAGTTTTCTCAAAACATACATATTGCAGCATAGCACGTTATTGCGGGGTCTTGAATTAATAATGCAATTTTTTTAAGATGTTGACAGTTTTTTTTAAGTATTGGTAGTTATATAAATTAACTATCTTAATAAGCAAACCAGTGCTTTTGGCTTTAATATTGATTTGCTTTAATTTTAAATTTATAAAACTTTTAAGCATAGTAAATAACTTTAAAGTAAGATCAAAAAAGAAAATATTGTAATTGAGTATATTTTCATCACAGGAGGCTTTTAGAATGAATAACATTACTGGAAGAAAACTACTACTAGTGGATGCTTCAGGATTGGTTAGAATGAACATTCATGACTTCGACCACATAAAGGTATTTGATTAAGTAAATGTTTTTTGTTGCGTTTGAGATACAGAACTTCAAAATAACAAAATAATATGAAATTTTATGGTGTTGAATACAGCAATTAACAGCTGGTATTCGCAAACTTGGAGGCATGACAAGAGAGCGGCAACACAGAAGACTTAGTGAGCCACCTTTTGATCCTGAGACCTTCTTCATTTTGTATCGTGCGTACCACAAAATTTCTCGAATGGAGTTCTTTTACGGAACAAACTTAGTACAAAGACCAAGGCCAATACCTAACCATTGGGAAACTATTGAGCCATGTTTCCCCAAATATCCTCCAGATCAGTATCGTGTTACGTTGCCATTCAAAAAACACAAGAATGACTGGGCAAGAAAGCAAACCAAATGTGTGCAAGTGAAATTTTAAATATTTACTGATACATTTGAACACTGTAAAGTGTAGTGATGTAAAATAGAAATGTTCACTGTATTATGGAGTAGTTGAATAAAACTACATGCAATATAATTTGTTTAAATTTATTTGTACCTACACAACTACCAACATTTTCTCATTCAATTAAAACATATCAAATTTAGATCATTATTTGCAATTCTGATGTAATGATACAAATTGAGGAAAGCCATCTTTCCTCTTAATTTCCTATTTAATACTCATCAAGAAGAGACTGAGAATTAAATTCTTCAATCTCCATCACACTTGGCTGAGGCAGATCATTGGTCTTTTCTTCATTTTTAATATTAACACTTTCATTAGAAATTCTTTTTGGTAAAATACTTCCGGTAAATGTTCTTTTAGGTAAAATACTATTACTGAAAGTTCTTTTAGGCAAAATTCTTTGGGAAGTTCTCTCTGATACATCACAATCTGAAGTTTTTATCACAGCTGAATTACTGACAACACTATCATCATCAGTTTCCACTTCTGTATCACTGTCATAATGATTAGAATTTTCATGGTCAAGTACAGATTCACCTTGAGGGATAGTAATATTTGAAGCTTCCTGGCTTAGTTCTTCAGATACTGCCTCTTTAAGGCACTTCCTTTTTGGGAGAGAAGAATTGGTAGTATTTGTATGTCTTATTGTTACACTGGTGCTTATCTTTTCATGCTCACTAATATGTGATGCGCCTTCAGGTGAAGATCTGCTACACTCACCTAGAATAAGGTAAAATGCGAATATTACAAATGCCCAAAACACTTATATTCTCATATCCATTAAATGTTTTACCAATTGATGACTCAAGATCAGCAATTCTTCTCTTTTTTGCATTCAAAATTTCACAAAACTTTGAATAAAGTATGGTTTCCAATGATGCTTTTTCACTAGCAAAATGCAGCAACTTCTCTTTGCAAGTTTTGAGTTCTAAAATTAAAAAAAAAAGAAAAATTCATTGCAATTCAGCAATTATTGAAGATTCCGAAGAAATGGAGAACCCTTGGAGGTAGGATTCATAAATTTTTAAGCATATTTTAAGGTCTCACCAGCTTTCAGATCCTGAACATCATGGCTTAATTCTGACATGTTTTTCTTACTGATCTTGTCTTGATCAAGCAACTCACTTACAATAGTCATAAATACTGGGATTGAAGGTACCTAAAGGATCGTAATAAAGAAAAACGATAAACAATCAAATTCAAAACGAAAATTCTTGCAACACGAGAGTACTTAAATAATATTACACTTTTAAAATGTTGTGTTCTACCTACCCTTTTCAATGGGATACTACAAAATTTTACTTTGATATTTGACTTCAAATCAACCTTTTTAACAATAAAATTGTCTTCTTCCATTGAGAATGTAAACTCTTTTTCGTTACCGGACAAGGCACTTTTCAATTCTATCATGAAGTTCTCTTTCGTTTTGTGCAAGGCATCACAAAACTCTGTAATCTTGGCCGAATCCGTCTGGAAATACGGCGCAAAAATGTACAAATTACATACTCAGAACTAAACAGTATAAGGTTTGTCATGACCAAATTACCTTACCTCTCCTGTCCAAGTTATATCGTTATCTACAACTGTCAAAATCACATTTTCCTCATACCATTCGGTCGACAAGATGTAGAATTCTTTCAGTCGACCCTCTTTAGGAATCTTGTGGATTTCTTTCATCATTTCTCCGGTAGTTCATGAAACTAATTGATTTATTATGAGATACGTAAATTATAACTCTCCTAAAACATCATATGTACAAGGCTATATATCATTCACTACTCCGGCACAGTTCCCTTTTCACAATCTTCACATTTCACCCGACAATTAACGAAAACTCACTTTTCACAACTGCTTATAACTTCCTGCCTGCGACATATAATTGTAAGCTCTGACCTGTTGTCACCGTGCAGTTTTCAACCAGTTATCAACTCTGTACACGCGCGATTCCATGCTTTAGTAACTATAGTATTTCTACACAGATGGCAGAAATGTCGTGTTCTCTGGTTTTATCAATATATAGCAATATAGACTTTTGTGATACATTTCAACCGATGTCAGCCAACGTGAATCATGAAACATTGCAGTATTCATGAATTCAGATTGTGACCTATTATTAGTTTCGCGTTATCTGTCGTGTTATTCAACGAAACGTTATTGGACGATTGCGGTCAACCCTTTTCACCTTAAAAGGTATACAGGTTACTTAAGATTCTGATAATGTGAAACTATCTTTGGTTTGTAGATGTCATTTGTTGAGCGACCCAGATGAGTGGTTTTCAAATTCACAAGTGGCTCGATTTCTTGGATAAATCAAATGTTTAGGCATGCTCTCACTTGCATAATCCTTGCAGGAGTACGCAGACGCCTTAGTTATTGACCGAGTTAAAAATTCATATACAGGAATTTACGTATGCCTATACTATAATTGAAAGATGGATAACACTGAGCTTATGGAACAAGTACGATTCTATTAGTAATGACGTTACCCTTAATTTTACCCGTTCTCACATGAATTGGTCAATTTGATTTGCGACATGATTAGGTCATAATTAATATTTCGAAGTACATGCCTTCTAGGAATCAAATCCCCTTTATGATGTATGTTTATTAATCGAATAATCGGAAAGACAACGTAATTTACAAAAGAATTGCACACATTATGCAATTTTCTGGATGAATAAGAACAGCTGTCATCAGCAGGGCATATTAGATCTGAAAGTTGGGAGAACTTAATTTACTTCATGATCCCCTGCACTAACTTATTTTTGGTTAACACAGAAAATAATGCCTTCCAAAATTATTATAATTATGTAGTTCAATTCAAGGTGCATGGTTCAATTGATAGAAATAGCGGATCTGCTGTATTTTAAATATGAATCTTTAAACTTTTCTAAATATTACAGTTGGAGAGCATGGAATCATCAGAAGACAATCAAGATACTGTTACTGAAAAAGAGGTAGAAGATCAGAGTGGTGATGCAGAAGGTGATGAGGGAAGTTCAGGTAACCTTGGTAAATCAGCAGGATCTGTACGCAAGTTAAAGTTGAAGGAACTTCCATCAGTCCATAAAACCAAGAAAAAAGGAGAAAGGTAGTGTTATTGAGGCAATATTTAATTTGAATGTTTCCAAATACTCCTCTATTTGACCCACCATGGCTCCTACATTTTCTCTCTGCTCCTACAGAACATGTCCTGATTTCTCCTTTCTTTTTAATAAGGAAATATTTAATGAAAAAAATATGTTGGACCCCAAATGGTGGAAACCATACTGGAAAATGGGAGATTCCCATCTCTTCTCACGGGTGTAAGGAACTATTATTAATTCTAATAAAAAATTCTCTTTGGAAAGTGGCTTAAGCAGTAAAATGTTCCGAGTTCATTTCACATATATATTGCTGAGGAACAGTTAATTTCACTCGTTAAAAAAAAATCATGCTTAGTACTGTTTTGTCAGAACAAAATTAAACTATGTAGTTATGTAGTTGCAAATTTCTTTTAGTGAGGCAGAACTGAATGCAACACCTCACACTTGGATTCTTGGAGGAACCCTGGGTGCTAAAACAACAGTGCTGTTGTTCCGGTGCATTGCTCTGTCTAATCCTCCAGAAGACCCTCCGGCCAATCAGCTGCACATGACCTACAAAACAGTTCAGGCAGAAACAAAACTTCTGGCAGCAGTTCTTAATTCACATGGATTTCGAGAGGTGAGGCCAAATTTATTATGCCCATTCCATTATATTGTATGGAAAGTGTTTATGAATGCTTCATGTTTGTAAGGAATTTTGCTTTAAATAATTTTAATAAAAAATTGATAGTAATTAAACTGATATAATTGATTTACTTTTAATGTTTTCTTCATCTAGGGTTCAGTATCCATCTTCTTTGGAAGTATTACCTTCTTTTCGATTTTGTTGGATTAATCATTCCATGTAAGACACTGTCTCTAAATCTTTTCAATCTCAAAATAGGTCCCAACAAATTCTAAGAGAGAAAACAATTGAATTAAAGTTAAACACAGTTATATTGAAAGTAAACAATTTCACAACCAGATATAATAAGGCAATTTTTTAGTTGTAATAGAAATATATTGGTCGAAATTGTCTTGTTTTTCCACTTAGTTGATTATTCTATGTATGAATGGGAGTGGAAAGCATCAAATAGCAAAGGAATTTCTACTGCATTTAAAAATTTAGATTTTAATGGACGGTGAAATTCTTGGGATATAAAGTAGTGAATTGCATGTTGGTGGGTGAAGAGTTAGAATGAATTAAACTTGTGGTGGGTGAAAATTGCTGTAAGAGATCATGTTTGGTTAACACAGACACAATGATTAGTCACCTTCAAAATTCACTATCTTCCACTACCTTCTGACTGTCTTTTGGTTTAATTAGATTTATTTGTTCAGTTTTTATTTGAACATTGTTATATTGTATGTTTGAAAACCTAAGGGTTAATAAAAAGACATAATTTAGATTTGGAAATTTATTGAAATGTATTGCATAAACGTTCTGAAATATAACTATCTCTCGATGTTTTGAGGAGCACTTTCCTCTTCTTCAGGAGTATTAATAAACTATGTTATTCCTTCTTAAAATCTATTTGTAATTCTGATTAAGTATTTCTTTTGTAATCGAGTGATTCAAATTTAATGTGGACTCATATTCTGGGTTTGCTTCTTTGCAAAAATTACAAGTAGATTTAATTAGGAATGACATAGTTTATTAAGACTCTTGATGAAGAGGAAATATGCTCCTCAAAATGTCAAGAGATAGTAATGCTTCAGAAAGTTTATCTAATACATTTGAATAAATTTCCAAATCTAAATTAAAGCTTTTTCTTAACCCTTTAGTTTTCAAATGTATAATAAACCTTTAAAATCCCAGACTTTTACGAAAACTATTTTGCAAATTTAAAGTGAATTATTAAGTTCCTTTTTCCAGAATTCTTCATGAGCATTCTATTTTGTTATTCGTGTTTTGTACATTTGATTAAAATTTATTTGTAATTTGTTTAAATCCAAATTTTTGATGAATTTACGTTTCTTTATTTTTAAATCAATGTGTCATACAAACTTTCAAGGAGTTTGTGTTTGATATCAGTCTGAAAGTGTTTGGTATACATTTGAATGAGTTTGGTATTAATTAGAATGTTCTCTGTAGTTGAGTTTAGTCTTTATTGAACTGCGTGTGTTGAATGTGCTTGTTCCCAATTTAGATGTGGGTGTTCTCATTTGAACTTACAAAGCTATAGTAGTCGGGTCCCTATCATTTTAATGTGGGTATATTATCTATAGATGTCAAATAGATTTTTGTAGGGAAGCTGTCTTCATACCACAAACATTTGGTACTTATATGTAATAATTATACGAGTTGTAATTGCCAACTATATTGTTTATTTCAATAGCAGCTGTTGATGGCGTAGCCATCATCATTTTCCAGTACGAGAAGTATAAACAAATTAAAACATGAGTCAAAAAAACAAAAACATGTTGATAAATAGATTATTAATATTGAAAAATTAAAAATAGAATTAACATTTTAAGAAATGAAAGAAAGAAAAGGGGTGTTAAATATTTTAATATTACAAGACAGAGAATATAATTAAATTGAACATGTGAAATTTTGTAACAGAAAAACATGAAATACAAGTTGAGCCATTTTGTTTCCACAAAACACCTATTCAACTTTGGGCGGGCCAAGAGGCTTAAATATATCCAGTTGTGAGGTGGAGGGTTAACAGCCTGGGTGCAGTATGCTATTCTATTGTGCTGCCCTGGAAGAGTGCAGTGTGGAGGTGGTGCCTCATAATAATTTCAGTTGAGGGAACGGGCTATAGTTCATGTTTTTGTTCAGTAAGTTATCATTTAAATGCATATGGAGATTTTCCGAAGTTAATCTGGTGTGATATTGATTTTCCATTTCTAGTATACGAAGATCTGTGTGTGGATTGAATGTGTGCCTGTTTGATGTAAATAATTGGCAAAGTGAGATTTATAGGAGTTGTGTTTTCAAGCGTGGATGTTTTCTTTAATTCTGGTGTTAAAAAGTTCTGCCTGTTTGACTTATATATTTGACGTTGCAGTTGTGACAATGTAGTGAGTAGATGCTGCTTTTTCTAAAAGATCTGTGTGTTGTGTGGAGGATAGCATTTTCTGAGAGAATACTGAGATTTGAATGGAACTTTGATACCAGCTCTCTGAATAATGTGTGCGATTTTTTCTGAAAGGGTTCCAAAATTAGGGAAGCAAGTGTACTTGTCTAGTGTTTGTGTTATTGTAGCGGTAGTTGTTTTGTGGCTTCCATAGAGCAGGTAAGAAATGTCTCAACTTACATTTCATGTTCCCTGTCACAAAATCTCACATGTTCAATTCAATTTCATCCTCTTTCTTGTATTATTAAATGATTTAATGCCCCCTTTTTTCTTTCTTTCATTTCTTATAATGTTAATTCTATTTTTAATTTTTTAAATTGTTAGTAATCTATTAATTCTAATGTTTTTGTTTTTTGACTTATGTTTTAATTTGTTTATACTTCTCATACTAGAAAACTGATGACTACGCCATCGAAAGCTGCTATTGAAATAAACAATATCGTTAACAATGACAATATATAATTATTTAATTTTAAATGCCAACAACATTTCACCACAATACCAATACTTGAATTCGTTTTGGACCATCTAGTGATGAACAGAATAGAATGAATTTCTTTGAGTATGCTAAAAACATCCACAGTAGAATAGACCCAGCTCACATTATGAACAATGCCTTTTGGTACAATGGCTGTGAGCGTTATCCCTGTAATCCTCACAGAAGGATTAAAATACGTCCTTCTAACCTGAAAACTAGATATGATGCAGCACAAAATGACTTGCCTGCAGACTCTCTTGATTGAATATTATACGTTTGTTTTAAATATCACATCTATTTATGAGAAAATTTATTTTACATTTTAATTATATAATAATATTAGTATATTGCACAGGCATTAATTAAAAATGTTAGTCATGTTTGTATAAATGGCTATTTTTTTAGAAAATTGTAAAGTAATTATTGCAGTGGCTCAGGTGTAAAAGATAACCATCAAAATTGTTGTATGATATTACAAATTTTTCTTCTTCCATCAGTTGTGATGCAGTATGATACTAAAGTAATTCATTTTATGGCTCATTCATACGTACAAGCAACTAATAAAAAAAAAAAATTATTAAATAATAAAAGCTTTCATGGAAGGCATAAGTATTGATAGAATTGCTTTCTGGGATGACAGCAATATGAAAACAAAATTTTCAGGAAATAATATATATCTTCTAAACTATTGGGAATAACCAAGTGGATAAAATATTGTTTATATGTATCATTTAACACAAAACCACAAGTATTTTATTAAAGAGCATTGTTGCTTTTAATTATAAATGTTACAGTAATTTTTTACTTTGGACTATTTTAAGTTTTGATGATTTGATGCAGTAAACAGATTTTTTGGTCATTGATCAGTTTAACATGAGTGGATTCAATCATAGCCATGAAAACTTTATGTGCTGATGCAGCGTGTAATTTTTGGATTTCACACTAAATAGGATTTGGAGAAATCTAATTGTACAGATGTGTAGAAAACTCTGGGATCTGCTGGAAACCATCCAAAACTTATTTTTTACGAGAGATGAACAATTTACATTTGATTAGTTGCTCCTCACATGTTCCCTAATTGTCATTTTTATGTAACCTTCTCATGAGTTTGGGAAGATGACTCATTCCCAAACTCTTCTGCTACAGTCTTCAAGTACTAAATTCACTCACAAGAAAATGTACTGATTAATTTTAGAAGTACTGGAAGGTTGCCTGGAGTATTTGGAATGATGAGGATTGTCGCAACCATTTATGAAGATATACATTTATTCCATAGTTATTTCAATTGAATTACTGTTTCATCACCCAATGCATGTGTGTTACATATGTGAATGTGTTCCACTGAAATTATCATATTAGAAAGGTATACTATGAACCCATTAGTAACAAGTAGGTAGGCTCAAATAGAAAAGGACAAAATGACTCAAGAAGATACCAATATATACTTGTTTGTGGAAGTGGTAGGAAAATCTTATATTGATATAAACTAACAAGAACTAAATGCATGTACTTTTGTCATCCCAAAACTCTCTTTATTTGTCAATACTAAATATGTGGTTCTTCTGAGGCAATGTTTCTGGAGCACAGTTTTTGGGAGTTTGACTGTTACCAATTGCATTGTGTTCTTCTGTGGAGTATATTTGTAAATGTGTTTTATTCTTTATTATTATTATTATTATTATTATTATTATTATTATTATTATTATTATTATTATTTTATTATTACTATTATTATTCCACTTTTAAATTCTTTCATGTATGTTGTTTTATTCACATCTCAAAATTTGTAATACCTACTTGGTACAATATTTATACAGGTCAATTCAGTTTAAAGTTATTTTCCTTTATCTTCAGCTTGTTTAAACAAATCCTGTTAATTTTTAATATTTTTTTTCCATTTGAAATTCATACTTCAGTTTAATTTGTAATGGTTATTTATTGTGTTAATATTATTTTAATATTATCACGTAATAAAAACTGAAAGGGATTGAAGTAATTAAGAACATAGGAAATAGAATTGTAGACAGAAAATCTGTGCAGTTTATACTTAAATGTAGAGACTTAGAGAAATATTATAGCTTTAAAAGCCATTTTCTCTGAGGATTTTGTGTGTAACTTGAATTAAATTTACTGCAAAAAATTGCAAAGCAGTGATAATACATTTGAACTAAACTGCGTATTCATTGTGATATTTTATGAAACCATTGTTCCTGTAGCAAAAATTTAAATATTCCAAGAGCGTAATGGAATTGAACAATAAAAAATATAGTCATTAATTAAGATATCCCTTGAAAGTATCAATTCTTGAGAATTTTTTTCTTTCTGCCATTTCTGTGAAAGAAATGTGCATGGTTCGTTTGTTTTCTTACTCCAGAAAAATTGATAAAGGTGAAAATGTTGTCTTGTGAAGTCATGGTCAATTTTTTTATTAGTGTATTGCATTTTTATTAATAAGTGACTCATAATGAGAATTTTTTTAAATATTAAAGATGTGCAATATTGAAAAAATAACTCTTCAATGAGTACAAAAATCAAATTACTAATTCTGAATACTTATTAAGATCTTTTTAACTCTCATAAGAGATTTTAAGGTCAATTTAAAACTTTGGTATTTTTGTGAGATGTTCTTAATTTTTCTTGCTTCTTATACTGGTGTCATGGATCAGTCTGCTTTATATTAAGGATATGATTAAAAGGGCAAAAAGTCAAAGAAATCCTCAGTACACTCACATCAAACCAATATTGCATGCAATAGTTGTTGGTATACCTCGGTTCTGGAGATCTATTGGCCTTAATGCAATTAATTAATGTAAATATTCATTTACAGGTCTTGAATGAATTGCAATCAGGGAGCATTTTTTTCTTTGGGGTATAGATGTCTTTGTCATCCGAAGTTAATAGAAATTAAAAACTCATCAGATCAGATATTTTCCATCATTAAAAAGTCAAATCTAAACAATTGGAAACTTATCAAATTGTAAACTGCAACATGCCTTTAATAATCTATTATTTTATTCCTTGTAGTTATTGGTCCAATCAGTGTTGACCATCAAAAAACATCTATAATGGGAAACGAATCATGTATGTTGGAGAATGTTTCTTTCTGTCCGTCTTGAATTGCCCATATCATTTCAGAGTGAATTCCTGGAATTTCTAATATGTAAAAATAATAGAAAAGTACTATGATTGTTTTTTTGAATGAAATCAGTTGTGAAATTTTTAAAGAAGATTTTTCACATTAATACTGTAAAAGTTATAATGTAGACTAGTGGCAATATGAAAAAAAAAAAAAAAAA